ATCCCATGCCACAAAGAATGCAGTCATGCCAGCTCCATGCTATTTGATCTATCTTATGTAACCAAGGGCTGCAATCTAAGTTATGTTATTACTTTATTGCATAATTAGATCTGTACAAATTTAAATAGTATCTTTCCTATGTTACTTCATACAATTAGTTCTACCTTTAGAAAATCTAGGAAAGCTAGAGTGTCTTAATTTATTTTAGTACAACTTAGAAATACCAAGATGTGAACCATATGCTTTTGCAAAGTTTAAAAACTTGGCGAGTAAGCAATTTTTCTTTTTAAAAAGGTACAAGTGATATGAAATAACTCTAAAATATTTGGTTTTTTTATTGTGTTTATATTTGTATGTGGATTTCAAGGTTTTGCTTGTGTGAAAAGAGGGAAAGACATTAGATAAATTAAGAGGTGATCTACTTTTAAATATATTTTAAAATAGTTAATACATTTTCCAGTTTCCCTGCATATTACACCTTTCCCTTTAATGGTAATGTAGACACATTTGGAAAAATGAATGGGGGAGGAGGGTGTGGTGTAAGAATAGTGGGGAAAGAACATTGCATTAATTTTTCTTTCTTTGGAAAACAACTGCTATAGAAACCATAAAAAATACTGTCTCTGGCATACATCTCCAAGTTGATTAACACAGGAGTCAGTCACTGCGGATGCTGGTACAGTTACTGAGTCCCTGGAAATCATGGCATGAGGCATTGCCAAGGCCTAGGTGATGGTCCAGCAAGCAGATGTACTGTTGAATTTGCCTCCTTCATTCTGTTGTCACCCAGTACTTGGTACATAGTAGGCTCTGCATCAATGTATGTTGAATAAATGAGTTGATAAAGGCCTTGAGAGGAAAATGAACAAGAAGGTATGTGATTGTTATTAGAGACAGGTATTAAGATGCATTTCAGGTCCGGCCGAGTGGTTCAGTTGGTAAGAGCATGAGCTCTGAACAACAGGGCTGCAGGTTTGATTCCTACATGCGCCAGTAAGCTGTGCCCTCTACAGCTAAGATTGTGAACAACAGCTCATCCTGGAGCTAGGTTGCCGTGAGTGGCTGGAGACGGCATAGGCTGCAGCAGGGCTGCAGTGGGCTGCTGTGACCTACCGTGAGTGGCCGGCAACCAGCTTGAGCAGCTGGCAGCTGGCGAGAGCTGCTGTGAGCTGCCACAAGCAGCCATCCAATGGCCGGCGACCGACTGCCTCACCCGGGAAGAGCGCAATGATCATAATGCCAACATGGGCCAGTGAAGCGACGTTTCCCACAACTAGACTAAAGAACAAAAAGGACAGCAACTTGTCTGTTCCCCTCCCCCAATTCCCCAATAACAATCTTAAAAAAAAAAAAAGATGCATTTCAGGGCTTGGATTCTCTCCCTTACAGCAGCATCTCTCCTCTTTCTCTCCTCTCAAGAAAAGGTGCCCCTGTATCCTTGCCCTTTTCCCTATCCAGCGTCAGGGTTCTTAGCTGCAAACAGCAGAAATGAACCCTGGACAACTGAAGCAGCAAATAAATATACTGAAAGGCTATTGGGTAGTTCACGGTCTTGACAGGAAGATTGGAGAATGTGTCTCAGAGGTTACACAGCCAGAAACAATGTCTAAATCAAGCTCTAGAACTAGTCCAGAGAGACCACTGCAGCCACCCCTGAGCCCTTGAAACAGGCACTGGACACTGCTGCCAGGCCAGCAATGTTTTGGATCTGCCACTTCTCTGCCTTCCTGGCTCCTAATTCTACCTGGGGGTGGATAGGTAGGCCCATTGCGAGCACCCGGTTGCAAGCCCAGGCCCCACTGCAAAGTGGGCTGGGAAGCACTATCTGGCAGATGGTGCCTTCTAAGGTGTGAGGTAGGCTCAATCTCCCTCACACTCCTCTGGTTTCTCTGCCTGCTTCTCTCACCACACTTCCACCAACACAGGGCTGGGTTAAAACTTACTGAATCCTCTCTGGCACCCTGGGAATATTGTTGTATGGTAAGAGATTGGGTTCACCGTGGTATCATTGAGTAGATGTCTATCAGACAAGTTGAAGTTTGAACTATATTAGTAGGTCTAAAATTGATTCAAAATAATATACATTTTAGCTTCTGAAAGGAACTATTCATGTATAAACACCAAAATCCAGGAAACACATGTCAATTATAAGACCAAAGAATAGCATGTAAAGAATTTGATGAAGAAAAGTGTTTCAATTCAGTGTCCTAGACTCCAAGTATAACCTCCCCAGGATGACTACCATATAAAAAGAGAAGTTAATGAGGTTTAGATGTTTATGAAGACATTTCAGCTTGAATTCATTCAGTTCAACAAAAACAAACATTATTTCCTCTTTTGGTCTATTCTAGAAGATTGAAGCAAGTTTCTGCTTATTTGGGGCTGCAATTCCAAAACAGAAAAATAGAAAAAAGCAGAACTTGTGAAAAAAAAAAATAGAGCAGTATTCAAAACTTACCTTGACTTCTGCTTTCTTTCTGTTTCTCTTTAATTTTTCCTATTTTACTGTTAAGTCACATTTATGTATTTATAGTGAGCTGCATTTGGTTTTTGAAGATGAAAGTGGAATTATTCCCATGAAATAGATCTATGTATTTGTTTTTATTGACGAATAAGACACTTTGCATGTACCATCTACCAAGATATCTTGGTTTGTTTGTAAAGGGGAAAATCTAATTTTATGTATGTTAAGTGATTTATGTATATATTGTTTATTTAATAGCATCTGACTGCCTTGGGTATAACTACCAGTTCCCTCATTCAGAATATTTAGGGAGGGGTATCATATAGATAGAGAAATGCCTTCTCTTATGTAGATAAGACAAGTGAGCAAATTGCCATTAATCAGCATCTACCTGCTCCTTCTTTGTATAACCATCGTGAGGAAGTGTCTCCAACTGGTGTGCCTTATTAGAACTTAAAATGTTTTTTTCCACAAATAAAGCGTTTATAAAATGGTAGATATATATAGAGAGAGTTAAAATAGTGCAATGAGAACTATGTTCCAGGTACATTATGAATTGAATGGCCTGGGAAGTTCCCAGATGCTAAAATTAAAAAAAAAAACAAGCTTTGTAGGTGTTAATTTTCTTGAGACTTAAGAAACTAGCTTCATTAATAATTAATATTTTCTTCCTTGCACCTTTGATATTTATCTAAAGATTGCTAGATATTTTAAAATTCTCCCTTGTATTACTTGTTTCAGAGCTATATGTATACCTAAGTTATAGATGTATAACCTATAATATGTAAAAAATATATATATAATTTTTATATAGAGACATATATGATTACTCATATTTTAAGAAGCACCTTTCAAACTTATTTCTCTAGCTAGTTAGCTGTTAAGGGAAACTTGGGCCTTTGTTATCTTATACATTATCCATTTGTAAACATGAATTCTAATTCTAAACATAAATTCGTACCTATATCAATGGCTAAAGGGAAATCAGAGCAATCATTAAAAAAATAAGAAACAGCTATTACATAAAATATAATTTTTCTCTTTTCCTAGCTTTTTATTCAGTTTTCATAGGAATTTCTTCCTGCCCATAGATATCACATGGGCTGATGCCTGTCTTTATGGAGCCATTGAAAAGCATTAGCATGGTGAAAGGGAAAGGGTGATGCCTATGTCCTTTCAATTTTCACTGAGCGGATTTATGGGAAGCTGTTGAATAAGATTGTTCCAGGCGCTTTAGACTCAGGGAGCAGCTCAGTTTGCTAGATGGCTTATGCTCAGTGGAGGGAAGCCAGAACCTGCTCCCAGTGATTTGAGTCACTGAAAGGGATTCTAGATCAGGGTCCCTCAGCATTGCAGCCTACACTTCCATCCATAACATTACTCTTTAAAGGCTCTATCAAAGACATGTGCATGTTGATTATATTATGGCAAAGTGTTATCTGGGAGGTGGGGGATGAATTTAATGCATTATAAGCCTGAAGCAGGGAGGGGCTACTGAAAAAACCAGAGATGAATTTAATGGGAGAAAGGAGAAGGGGTACGGGGGAAGGATGGGAGAGCAGTGACTGGCTGGAGCCCAGTGAGGAACCTGGAGGCCAGATCCAGCTTCTCAGTTTTGCTCAAGGCCCCTCTTGAGAGGCTGAGGTTACCAGATCACTCAATGGCAGCTTCGGGCACTCACATCACCAAGCCAACAACAGGGCACTGAAGAAAACCATGACTGACCTGAATCCACTAAAGTGGAAGTAAAGCCATTTTTTGTTAGAAAAGTGAAAATGTTAGTAATCTTTTCCTCCCCATCCCCTTCCCATTTTCCCCATTTCCTGTGTTTTTAGTTTTGGTTTGACTTAATTTAACTGTTGTTAACAGAAGGATTAATACTTTCCCCAAACTTTCCTTCTTAACTCTATTTCAGACATTTCAGTTCCACTTGCTTTCCTATTTAGATTACAAAATAAAAGGAACAAAGGACATTTTTTTTTACAAAGGACATTTTTATATTTAGTACTTCCTTTTTAAAATAATAAATGTAAATGCATAGTTATTTTTTTTAAAGATCAAATGATAGAGACAAGGAAGAGCATAAAATGATAAGCAACTCAGTTTCACTCTCCAGAGATAACCACACAGAAAGTATTTTTTTAATTGAAGGTTTAGAATCCATAGTATTTCCAAATTAAAGTGCAGGATGATGGAGGAGTTGTTTTGAAACTAACGCCTCCTCAAACGCATCACTAATATAAATTATCAACACTCTTGTGTGTTTGGGTCTGTAGACTAAGAAGTAAGAAGGATCTCAAAGCCCTGCCAGGTCTCCTTCACTTTGCTGAATGCAGGCAGATGCATTCATGTCCTCAGGCAGAAGAGCAAGACTCAGACCAGAAGTCAGGGGACTTCTCTGGCCTTTGCTTTCATCCTGAGCACCCATGTGTGGTAGCTAGAGGCACTTAGAGCCACTCTCCGAAATGTCTGTCCCTGTCCCACCTCCAGATGCTGCTTATTCTTGAGTTCCCTCTTTTTCTCCCCCAACAGGAAGAAGATAAGCCCACTCTTTATGTGTTCAATGCTGTCACCCAAGAGACGATGCCAATACTGGAGAATGCTTCCCTTCTTGGTAAAAAAGTGTCTCAGCTGAGAACACTGATAGCTCTGAGATGTGGCTTCCCCGTGAGTGTCTTCTGTCTCCGGACTCCAAGCGGCTTGGAGATGTTCGATTGCAACACCCTGAGGGACTACCAGACTGACATGGGTACTGCTTTCTATATCTGATACCAGCTATAACTCAGCACTAGGGCTTTTGATGTGGATTAAAGGTCATGGCTGAACTCAGAGGGAACAGTTTCAATGAAATGGAGGGAGACAGGAAGGTTGCAGGGATTAAGAAGACAAGTAATAAAGGGATTAGGAGATATTTTTTTCTGAGGATACTTAATGATTAACTTATCAAGAATTGATCAAAGCTAAACATCCCCTAATTGCGATTCTGTGACTTGCAGTTTAGTGGCACATCATACACACACACACACACACACACACACACACACACACACACACACANACACATATGCACACACAAACACCTTTTCTTGTATCAACTTATATGGGATAGATGTTCATTTTAGCCCATTTCTAGTTCCTATGTCTCTATCCTGGCCCTTACTTTCCTCTTGTTTATCTATGTGCTTGTATGCTTATTATTCAGTCTATATTTTATATGTATTTATAAACTGAAATTAATCCTTTCTGGAACAAGGTGTGCCTAACAAATGAGTGAATGAATGAATGGCTTTCCTTTATAGGATGGTGCCCTTGGTACTTTTCACTGTAAATGTCTCACAGTGTGTATTCATAGCAAGCTTGAACACACTGCATCATGGTAAACTAAAAACATCGCAAATCCTTTAAGTCAGGAGAGAAAATAAATGCACTTATAACAGTGTTTAAAGTCCTTTGTTTCCAAGTGCCACCCATAGGAATCACACAGTTTATAAGAAAGTTTAAGCAGCAAGACACTTTAGAGAAACTAAATCTATTCTGTCAAGAATGATCTATATTTTGGACAATGTTTCTCAAGGCATTCCTACAGATATCTGCGGAACCACTACTTGGTCTCTACAGAATAACTACATAATCCTCCAGCAAAAAAGAGTGACCTCTCCGAGCTGAGGCCAGATTTGCAGGGGTGGAGGCAGGTTAGCGGGGCGGGGGGCAATAGTGTAGATCAGGCTCTGTGAGGAAACCAGCATGGGAAATATTATAGGAATCAACCCACAAAGGAGCGTAAGGCCAAAGTCAAGAAATACAAAACCAAAGTACAAAGTAACAGAGGAACAGCCCCATCTCAGGATTACAGGTCATAACACAGAAGAAACAGAAAGGGAAGGAACAGCAGAGAGAACGTATACTCAGGTGTGTGTCTACCTGTGGAGGGGAGGCAAGAAGGGAAAGAGATGGAAGCAGAAAGGAAAGAAAGAAAGAAAAGAAGCAGCAGAAAGGAGGAAGCTTTCTAGGCATTAGAAAGAGTCATACATTCCAGGCCGAATTCTACTCCCAGCTTGCTGGGGAACTTCAGGCAATTCTTCCGTAGCTTGGGGCTTCGGCTTCCTAGGCTATAGAAAGGGGCAACTGAGTGGGCTGGTCTTTTAGGATCTTTTTATCTTCAGCATTCTGTGACCAAGATTACTGGTGTTACAACATCCCAGCCAACAAAAGTAAGCATGTTTAGAAGCTCTGTATGCCTCCAAAATGCTAATGAGGCCAGCTTCCCTCCTCCCTTCTTCCCTCCCTTATTCCCTCTTTCCCTTCCTTCCTTCTTACCTGCAAGTATTTATTATGAACCCACTATGTGTCTGAGCCTGAAGACATGTACGGATAAGCCAAGTCACACACACACCTCCGCCCCTACTGCCAAAGCCATCACATTGATTCAAAGGCAGTGAATTCATAGCCTGTCCAGTGACATCAGCTATCACAGCTGAGCCAACTAGATTCTTGTTTGGAGACAAGTATGACATAGAGGACAGGAACATGGGCATAGGGGCCAGGCTTCCCAGGTCCAACTCCCAGTTTCACTACGTACTGGGTATGTAAACCCTGGGCAAGTTACTCAATCTGATAATGCCTCAGTTTCTTCAGCTGTCAAATGGAGATAATAATACAACCTATTGCTTAGGGCTGTTGTGAATTTTAAATTAGCTTGTTCACATAAAGTACTTAGGACAATGCAGAGCATATAATAAGCATTCAATGAATATTAGCTATTCATATTCAATATATTATTATCATTAATTATTACTGGTCTTGTAAATTCAAATTGGGAAATGCAGAGAAACAAAACTGGTTATCAGCATGGGCAGAAATGAAAGACGGCATGAAGTAAGGTTGGGTGACGGCAAACCAATGTTACAGGCTTGCCAAAGTTGTGATAGGACAGGAACTGTAAGCAGGGCAGCCTGTCAGTAAAGAAAGGGAAAGAGACATAGAGGGCATGAAAGAGATTCTGGAGCCTTGATTTCTAACACACACCATTTCCAGTCATTGTCTTAGCAGAATAAATCCATTTTCTTGAAGGCCTCCTTGCAACCCAAGAGCATAACTAAAACTGAGCCCACAGACTGGGTAAGACATGATGCTTGGGCTCAAAGAGTGCTCTATTAGTGTTTGCAAACTGCCAGTTGCAAAGCAGAAATGTATATACAAGGACGAAGAGTTTCAAAGTATATTATGGCAGCCAGTTGAGCAGCCCTGGAACCTATTTGGAGAAGTGAGAGGCTGGTGTACTCAAGTAGGGCTTCCTGGAAAAGGTGACGCCAGTGTTGCACCACAAACTATCAGTAGGAAGGGGCAGGGAAGGAGTCAGGGGAATGCAGACAGAAGGGGCAGCAAAAGAAGAAGCCCAGGGCTGGCCGAGGGGCTCAGTTGGTTAAGAGCTTGCTCAAGAGTGCAAGCTTTGAGCAACAGAGTCGCCGGTTTGATTCCCACCTGGGCCAGTGAGCTGCGCCCAAGCTGAGCTGCTGCTGAGCTGCCAACAGGTGGCAGGGTGGCTCAGCTGGTGAGAGCACGTGCTCCTAATAACAAGGCTGCCTACTCGAGATGGTGGGCTACACCTGCTCGCAACTAAGACTGAACTCAGCACCTTATGCTGAGATGCTGCCTGGGTGGCCCAGGGTATACAGTGCAAGCTCTTAACAACAAGGCTGCCGGTTTGACTCCCACATGGGATGGTGGCTATGCCCACCCACAAGTAACTGAACACAGCACCTTGAGCAGAGCAGCGCGACTGGACTTGGAGGTGAGCTAGCTGCACCCTCCATGACTGAGATTGAAGGATAACAACTTGGCTGTTCCCCTTTCTCAATTCCCCAACTGTTCTCCTCCCCCAATTCCCCAAAAAAATCTTGAAGAAGAAGAAGAAGAAGAAGCAACTACCACCGCCCAAGGCCAGAAACAGCCTGCTGTGTATACAGAAGTGCCTGCTGGCCTGCTATGGATGGGAGGGCAGCACATGCCCAGAATGGATTTCGGGGTGGGACAGAACTTCATTCAATGAACATTTACTGTGCATTCTCCATGAGCCATGCACCACTGGCAAAGCAGGCACAGAGCTTTGAGCAAGAGTAGCAAGGTTCCCGCGCTCCTGAAGCTTGCATTTCAGTGCAGTAGGCAAGCACCATAAAGTTACCAGGAAAATATCAAATTTTAAATAGAAATAAGAACTATGAAGTAAAAGAAAGAGGAAAAGGGGCTGGAGAATGATGTGGTAAGGTGGGGGAGGCTATTTTAGATAGCCAGAAAAGGAGATGACATTTGAGCAGAGACCTGTATAAAGAAGGGGGAGGCTGTTAGGAACTTTTCCAAGTAGATTTAGGGGAGAGATTACCCCGGCCTGAAATAGGGTGGAGCTGGTTGAGATGGAGGCAAGGAAACAGAGTTCTTAAACATTTCTGGGATAAATTGTCAGGCCTCAGCAACCATACAGATGTAGGGCATGAGAATAAAGAAAGGATAAAGAACCACTCCGTAATTTCTAACTTAAGTAGCAAGTAAGATAGTGGCACAACAAACTGAGACACAATGCAAGAGGAAAAGCAGGCTGGGGATGAAAAGACGGCGGGATGTCTTAGAACAATATGAAGGTAGCTCAAGGCACTGGATGGCAAGGTCCTCAACAGAAGGAATCTACAGCTGCAGCAGAGCCCTGGGCTGGAGATTTGGACTTGGCCGTGAGTAGCACATGGGTGGTCAGTGAAGCCCTCCGTGTCACTGATATTGCCTGTTAGTCAGCCAACCGGTATTTAATGAGCACTTACCAAGTGTCAGGCTGTGCAGTGAGTCCTGAAGGAGCTTTCTTTTTATTGGTGGCATGAAAAACAATCTCCACATAAATAAAATGATTTCAAGTACTGATGACAGGGGCTATGTTGAAGCTAAAATAAGGTCATGGGGTAAAGCATATTGGAGCGGACGAGGCAGTGGTGGCAGACATCACTTTAGCTACAGTGGCCGAGAAGGTCCTCTGAGAAGACATGACGCTTGAATAGAAAGTGGACTAAGGACACCCCCCTGTGAAAATCTGGGTTGTTACCCTTTGAAGCAAAAGGAATTGTAAGTCTTTAGGTCCTGAGATGGGAGTGGACATGTTGTGTCTCAAGGACAGGTGAAAGGTCAGAGAGCCCTGGACAGATGTGAGAGGGGTCAGGGAGGGCCAGATGGGGTAGGAATGTGTAGTTTGAGCAGATTATGAGGCTGGGGAAAGACTCTTGGAAAACTCCTGCCTGAGGAACAAGGGGAATGTGGTGTCATGGGATCGAAAGAAGGTAAACTTTTTTTTTTTTGAAGATTTTATTGGGGAATTGGGGTAGTGGAACAGTGTTGGGGAATTGGGGAAGGGGACCAGCCAAGTTGTTGTTCTTTAATCTTCGTTGTGGAGGGCGCCAGTCACCATCTGGCCGTCTGTCGGCAGCTTGTGGCCTCTAAGCTCAAGGTGCTGTGTTCAATCTTAGTTGCGGGTGGGCATAGCCACCATCTCATGCAGGAGTTGAACCATCAGCCTTGTTGTTAAGAGCGCATGCTCTATCCACTGAGCCATCCGGGTGGCAGCTCAGCTCAAGGTGCCGAGTTCAGTCTTAGCTGCAGGTGGGCATAGCCCACCACGGAACAGGCAATCTTGTTGTTACACCAGCTGAGCCATCCTGCCACCTGTTGGCAACTCAGCGACAGCTCAGCTTGGGCACAGCGTCACTGGCCCACGTGGGAATCGAACCGGTGGCCCTGTTGCTCAGAGCTCACGCTCTTAAGCTAACTCTTAACCAACTGAGCCACTCGGCTGGCCCAAGAAGGTAAACTTTTGCAGAGCAAGTAATAAATCCTCCAGCAGCAGTGGACATTCACAATACAGAATGAAGGCTAGAACAGAGGCCCACCCATCTCCACCCACAGCCCACTCGTAAGCTAAAGGCCTGAGAAGCAAGTTCATCTTAGGCAAACCCAAGTCCTGCCACAGTTTCTTTAGTTTCATCTAACATAACATAATAGCTGTAGTTTACAAGGTGGTATATACATCATCATGGAGTCAATGTCCACAGGACTGTTTTAAGATAGCTGCAAAAAAAAAAAATCTCTGCATTATATGCAATCACTGGGCAGAAAAGAAAATGGAAGTGCACAAAAACCAAATAAAACGCTTTTCCAAATCAGTATAGGCCTCAGCATCCCTGTCTACTCACTCCAAGGTTATTTTTCATTTTGCATCTAGCTCATGCCTCTGTCTGGGGACAACTATCTTTAGAAGTTTTATGGATTGCCAAACCACAATGACGGACGGGACAATAAACCGCCTTTTCCATCCATAGGCTCAACACTTCGCTTGGATGTCTGGGACGGATGGAAGGAATTTATGATGGGTTGTCTCCTCGGACAAAAGCTTGAAGTCCAACGCTATTTATCAAATGAAGGACCAGTACTTAAGTACGGGGATAAAGCAAATGCTAAATTAATTTAAGTAATTTTTACTAAACCTCCACAGGACCTGGAGTCTGAAGTTCACTCCACAGCTGGTATACTGCTCCATGCCAGTGTCACTTAGCATGTCTCCACTGACGCCATTATTGAGATACCTGCTGGAATGAGACAGCTGGGATGCTGGCAGGGCTGCGGCCTTTGGGGAGGGATTGTTGTAATTTGGGTAGACATTCCTTGGGAAACAGTTAAGTGGCTGACTTTGGTTTGGATATCAGACTTTTAATAGCTCTTTTTAATACTATCAGAATAAGTACCTTGACACTGTCATATTCAATTATTCTACACACACACACACACACACACACACACACACACACACACACAAAACATCATTATTTGCTAATTGATAGGCTGAAAAAATTGGCTGCCTTTTCCTAAGCTCCTATGTAATTTTTCAAACTGCATTTAATACAACATTCATTCTTTTGCAGTACATGAAGCGGAACAAGTGTTGCTGGGGCAGTGGAGAAGGGTAGGCTCAGAAAAGCAGGGGGACTTTCGAATGTATCTTTGCAGCTTCCTAAAAACATAAACTGCACTTCCCTTTAGGTTTCCATTCATTCAGTGGTTCTGTGTTTTAGAACAGCGCCCCCTTGTGGGTGATTTAATTATGCTTCACAGAAGCCCACACACCCACCAGGATAAGGGCTCTGTGAAGCTACAGATTGGAAAGCTAGCTTTTGCAATTTTATAAAATATTCAAATATTTTAAATTAATTTCTATTTGGGGGTAGTGATTATTCCTTTTTTTATGCTTTAAATTCAAAGAAATAGCTGTGCTACATTGTTATTAAAAATGTTTTTTTAGTATGTTAGTTTCAGGTGTATTATTACATTGTTACTTTTAATAGTGAATATTTATTGAGTACTTTGTAGCAAACACTCTGTTATATTTATTACCTAATTTTATATTTATAACAATTGTATTAGGTAGGTACTATATCATCTCATTTTATAGATGAGTAAAGTAATGTTAGGAAAACAGCCCAATGTCACATAGCCAGCAAAGGCACAAACAGGTACGGGTCCTGACAATTAACCCTAGTGCTCATGTGCTTAACCATCTCCACTTGACTTAATATTTAAATGAAATCTAAGAGATCAGAGAGTATGAATGATCACGTTGAAGAGCTCCTTTTATTCCTCTACCCAATTAACAAATATCTATTGAGCATTTGCTACGTATTACACAATGTCCTAGGAATACAGCAATAAACAAGATACAGCCATGCTCTCAGCAAGCTTACAGCCCAGTGGGGGGAACAGAAACTCCAGTGTCCACCTGCCTAGGTTCAAAGCCCCACTCCCTCAGTGTTTAGTTGAGTAAACTTGGCAGGTTATATAGTCATCCAGTACCTCATTGTCCTCTTGTACAAAATGGGAATGATAATAGTATTTATCCAGAGAACTGTTTTAAAGATTAAGTGACCTAGTGATGATAAGGAACTTAGAGAGCTGTCTGGCACCTGGTAAGCAGCATATAAATGTTCGGTGTTGTTGCCTTTATTATTCAGTATGAAAAGTGTTACGACACAGGCATAGTGCAAGGTGATATGCGAATATATGGAATGGAGAACTAACTAGACTTCGGGGATCATCCTGAGAAAGAGAATTCAAATTAAGACCTGAATTGTTGGTACTCAGGTAAATGGTAGGGAGAAGAAAACCATGTTCCAAAACAGATGAAACCATGTGTACAAAGATGCGGGGTGGGGAGGCGGAGAGGAGAGAATAGATTCAAGGAACTGAAAGAAGTTCCACATGGCAGATCATAGACTGAGATGGAGCTAGTGGCCAGAGGCTGAAAAGGTAAGAAGGGTCCAGCTCATGCATGCCTCCATAGGAATGCGAAGGAATTTGAAATTGATTATTTAAGTGTTGGGAAGACTTTGAAGGTAGAAAAAGGCCATGATGAAATCTGCATTTTAGAAAGCTGGCTCTGGCTGCAGCATGAGGAATAGTGGCAGACAGGGAGACAAGGAGATAATCCAGAGATGATGTCAGCCTGAACTAGGTTTAGGACTAAGAGAATAGACTATAAAAAGATATTAAGGCTGGTGCGAAAGTAATCGCGGTTTTGGACCGTGAATTTTAAATTACTATAACTAGGCTCAAACATATCTTTATTAATCAAAATAGGAACCATTACAATCAACACATTTTTGCCAATGAGAAATAAGTTTGGTTATTCCTGTAGCATAAAAATCTGTGCTTTGGGATTTGATGAATTATTGGAAACCATTTTCTGCACCCTGCTGGTTGTGGAAGTGTTTTCCCTGCAAAAAGTTGTCTAGATACTTGAAGAAGTAGTAGTTGGTTGGCGAGAGGTCAGGTGAATATGGTGGATGAGACAAAACTTCGTAGCCCAATTCGTTCAACTTTTGAAGCGTTGATTGTGTGACGTGTGGTCCGGTGTTGTTGTGGAGAAGAATTGGGCCCTTTCTGTTGACCAATGCCGACTGCAGGCGTTGCAGTTTTTGGTGCATCTCATCGATTTGCTGAGCATACTTCTCAGATGTAATGGTTTCGCCGGGATTCAGGAAGCTGTAGTGGATCAGACCAGCAGCAGGCCACCAAACAGTGACCATGACATTTTTTTGGTGCTAGTTTGGCTTTGGGAAGTGCTTTGGAGCTTCTTCTTGGCCCAGCCACTGAGCTAGTCATCACCAGTTGTCATATAAAATCCACTTTTCATCACATATCACAATCTGATCAAGAAATGGTTCATTGTTGTTGCGTAGAATAAGAGAAGATGACACTTCAAAACGACGATTTTTTTGATTTGCGGTCAGCTCATGAGGCACCCACTTATCGAGCTTTTTCACCTTTAAATTTGCTTCAAATGCCAAATGACTGTACAATGGTCGACGTTGAGTTCTTCAGCAACTTCTCATGTAGTTGTAAGACGATCAGCTTCGATGGTTGCTTTCAATTGGTCGTTGTCAACTTCCGATGGCTGGCCACTACACTCCTCATCTTCAAAGCTCTTTTCTCCTTTGCAAAACTTCTTGAACTACCACTGCACTGTATGTTCGTTAGCAGTTTCTGGGCTAAATGTGTTGTTGATGTTGCAAGTTGTCTCTGCTGCTTTACGATCCATTTTGAACTTGAATAAGAAAATTGCTCAAATTTGATTTTTGTCTAACATCATTTCCACAGTTTCAAATACATACAAAATAAACAGCAAGTAATAAGTCATTAGCACAAAAACATAAAGCGAGAAATGTGCATTAAAATAATATATAACATAACCGCATTTAATTTAAGAACTTATTCCAATATCAAAGGCAAATTTCAACAACGCAAAAACCACAATTACATTTGCACCAAGCTAATATATTTAGGAGGCAAGACCAACTAGTCTCAGTAACAAGAGTACCTCTAGTTCCCACATGAATGCTAAGGATGAAAGCAAAGGCCAGCCAGTCCATCTAGGAGGATGCTCTTCTCCCCAAATCAGGAAAACTGATCAGATTCAGAGATTCAGATCTGCACTAATGAATTTCAAAAGAAACTCATGTGGGAACCAAAATGCCAGTGTATTATTGTATAACTCTAATTAGCTATATCTAACTGTCAGAGGGTCCTAGAGACCCACATGTTCTGGGCAGACCACCTATCTCATACAGGGAGATTGCATGGGAAGCCACACACACAACAAAAGATGGTGTGGTGAGCATGCAATCAGAAAGAGGAGAATTAGTTATAGGAAGTGTATTTTGGATGACACCAGGCGAGCTTGTCTCCATCTCTACAATGGGGTCAGATAGCCCTGCCCAAGTGTATCCTGGACAATACCTGGTGGTACCATGCTTAGGTTTGCCTCCTTAATTCTTATTTCTCTCAACAGCCTTCACACATGATTCAACTTATGCCTTATGGGGTATTAAAAGGATAGTAGGAAGGCCAGTTGGCTGCAGTGCAGTGAAACAGAAAGAGACTGGTGGGAGGTGGGGCAGGAGAGGGGGCCGGGGCCAGATGATGAAGGGCCTTATCGGCCAAGGTGAGGCGTTAGAATCTCAACTGCAGCGGGATGCTACTGGAGGGTTTGGATCAGAGGATAGGCCACCTCCTGTTCATGGGATAAAAAGATCACTGAGTACTGTGTGAGGAATAGCCTGGAGGGGATAAGAGGAGGTGGGAGACCAGTTAGGCGACCATGGCCCTGGTAGTGGAGCATGGAGGGCTGGGAGGGCAAACTAGTGGGATCAATCAGATAGCAATAGACACTTTGAGAAGCCAGAAAATAAGGATGATTAGAAAAGACAAAACAAACAAACATACACAACTTTCAAATTTCTAGAATATGCTGAACTCCTTCCAGTACTCTTTCAACTGATACAAAGCTCAATATTTTTTCCTGAGCGCCTGATTTTCCTAAGAAAGAAAACTGCTCCAAGGAAACCAGTTTGAAGGATTTACACATGCATGGGAGGGCAGCGTGGAATAAGCAGGAGCTGTGCAGGTTGACCTGTGTATTACCATACCTTTTCTGAAAACATTTGAGGTAAAAGTTAGGAAGGAACAAACATTTTAACTAGAATGTTTTGCGGGTATTTGGTGTGACTACATTTGTCTGTTTGCTGACTGACTAACCTCCCCCACTCCTACCCGTTTCACTCGTTCAGGTTCCAGAAAAGGGTGGCCCTGTACATAGCCGCCTTTCATGGCTACATTGAGCTCACCGAATGGGCTCTGAAGCAGGGTGTGCGGCCCAACGAGGCAGTCGGTGTCCATCCCTGTCGAGCGTGGTGCCATGACGCCCTTCATGCAGATGTCTCTAAATGCCCCATTCATGCGGCTGCAGAAGCAGGCCAGCTGTTGATTCTGAAGACCTTTGTCAACTGCAGCGTGCTGTGCCTGGAATGCAAAAATGCAGCAGGACAAACTCCCCTGACCATCACAGTCAAACACAAGCATAAAGACTGCGTATTATATCTACTGGGTAAAATGTGGTCCACGGTTTCTTTTCCGAAAATTTCAGTCCCCATGAGAATCTATATTAAAATAAAACAATGGATCCTCAGAGCTCAGAGTCACAACCTTCATAAAAGCCAGGTTTGCAGAGCAAGGGTCTTTGGGGCAAGAGTTGGGGACACTGTGATGGTGGATGGTTTCACCAAACCAAAAATGACCTCCAAGAATTGGCATCAGGCTGGGAACAAAAACTCACAAAGCTCTACTGGCAAGCTACCACCTCTCCGGGTACAAACTGCAAGCAGGAAACCCGTCAATCCTTTGGCAATGTCACAGCGGGACACAAGAGAGCAAACCTTCACATTTCCTCCTCTATCAGATGCAAATATGTTCTCTGAATTGCAAAGACATCAACAACAAAATGAGAAAAAAATGACTGTCAGAGCTAGGAAAAAAGAAAAGCTCATAAAAAATACATATCTCCCCCAAGTCCCTCTCCCGCCGGTTTCAAGAGTGGGCTATTCACATCCATCTTTTTACTATGCAACCCCCAGCACTGACTTTTTACTCAGATCCTCCATTGCATCTTTCTCTGAGCACAGTGGGAGAACTCTAAGAGAAAACGCCATCTATTGCTTAGCTGTGGCCAGGTAATGCTTTCTCTTTAAACATACGAGGATTAACCTTTAATAGAGCAGGTCTAGGTGCAGGGGATGGTCCATGAAGCCCTACAATGCCATATACAGAGGGTGCCAAAAAATGTATACACATTTTAAGAAAGGAAAACTGTATTAGAATTGTAATACTCAACACATACCAATAACAAAAGATGAACACTAGTCACGTTTGCCTTCTGCAATTACAAGAGGTGCTCAAAGTGGTTATCATCAGCTTCCAGACACTTCTGATTATGGCGAACTACTGCTTGAGCAACGTTGACCAAAGTGTCCACTTGTATACATTTTTTTGGCACCGCCGGTAGTGTGACACAGGTTGTTCCAATGCATGCATACCCTGCTTCCAGTACCTCATCTTAGCCTCATATCTAGGACTAAAAACACTGATGTTATTGGCCAATCCAATTGGTGTGGTACTTTACTCCACAAGCTTTCAGAAAGAAAAGAGACACAGTAAAAAGAACTGTATCGATGAATAAGGTCCCTTGCTGCTGCTTCCTTTTTTTTAACCAATAAGAAATTGTTAATTATAGTTAAAAGGAGAAGGGGGAAACTTGAAATGTGGGAGGGAGAAATGAAAGGTTTCATGGAAGACTGGACAGTAATGAAAGTAGAAGAAAAGAAAGAAACAATTTAATGACAATCACAAAGACTCCCAGTTGACTTACTGGGCAAAATATACAGGTTGGGGGAGATCTGCATTGGATAGGGTCATAGAATTGACATTAATATTTGAGGGAAGTTTAAAAAGTAATGCACTATATACTTACCTGACAGGGGATATACCATGATCACGAAGGTGGTCTTCCCAGGGCGAGGCTTATCCATTGCACTCAGGATGTGCTGACCCCTGCGATTTCCCCAAATGTGGGAAACTCGACTGCATAATTTGTGGTAGTGGGGGAGAAAAAAAAAAGTAATGCACTATCACATTTAAAGACATAAACAACTGTATCTGAAGTGGACTTTTCAGGTACATTCAGTTCATAAGATAAAATTTTATATATTGGTCATCAGATTTCACTGAAAAAACACTTCTGATCAGATCTCAGGTCCCATCCACTACTTATGAGGTATTATTGCATGCCAATATTACAGTAGAAATATAGATTTATAAGTGGCTATTTTTCCTTACTCAATTTACGAGAAGGAAAGAAAAACAAGGCTAAATTGTTTAGTGGCCTTTCTGTGTTGGTCTTTAGTTCAGCTCTACTTTAGTTCAGTTAGGTTGTTGCCAACTAGCAGTGAGAGTAATTTGGGCTCTAACACTAGCACACTTCAGGATAATGAGATTGACAGTAAATGAAGAAACTGCCTAATAGCTTCAATCTCTGTAATTTGTCAGGTATCTCTGACTAGAACGTAGAACAAGAGATAATCTAAAATTCTAGAAAAAAACTAGATAATGATTAATTGAAAAAATTTTATAGTCCTTAAAATCAGGCTGTAAATATAAGAAAGGAAATACTGATTAGTTTTATCAACAGATGTATGTTAAAAATGAGCTGATTTTTCAGGCACCCAATAAGTACTTATGATGGCCCGGTGCAGGGCTAGGCAGGATGGAAATGTGAAAAAATATCTGTATATAAGGTGGGTGTGTGTGTGGTTTGAGATGAGAAAGGCTGCCAGTGTCTACTGTGTATAGTTTGAATAAACGCCTCCAAACAGTTTTCCAAAGAGGTACCAGCATGCTGTTTGTGTAGGCATATTTTATAAAGATTAGCGTTATCAGAGGGAAGCAATCGCAAGGTTGAGGAGGAAAAGCTGGGAACACGTGTTAGAGAAAGAGGTCAGTGCCTCAGGGAGGCTCACAGACGCAACGGTGGTCCATCTGAGTTTGCACTTCCTCTGGCAACGGTACAGCTAGCAAATTCTCTTTCCAACTTTATTGTTTCTACCTCCCCTCTATTTGAACTTTCCACTTTCTTCCCATCTGTTTTCTCCCCTTTCCGTGTCAGCTTTCCCAGGATCTGTCCCACGTCCCTCTGCAGGGAACCTGCACTCTTCATACCCCTGCAGCTCTTTTGTCTGGTTCCTGTGCCTGGAACCACCAGTCAAGCCAGGCAGTCAGATGATCTGAGCTCTTACTACTAAAAGACCAGTACAGCTCTTGTGCCAAAAAGACACAAATTAGAGGAGTGGACATGCACTATCTCGATGGCCGGACCCACTCTCACCGAGCTAGTATCATAGCCAGGAGCCAGGGGGAACCTAATGTAAACCGTCATGATGGTAACCCGGGGAAACTGGACCAGGGTCAGTAAAGGAGCCATCAGATGTTCCTGACCACTTGATTTACTGTCAAGTTGTTTCTAGTTTTTCACCATGATAACAGTGGTGCAATAGATTCTTTTATATATAATACTTATTCATTTGTGGAAGCATTTCTATAGGATACTTCCATGAAGTGAAATTGCTTGTTCAAAGGACATATACATACTGCTAAGTCACCTTCCTAAAAGACTGTACCAAGTTATACCCATTTATAGAGGAAGAGAGGCTGCTTCGGCGTTAATTACATATCTATAGCTGGGAGGGGCGAGGCTCACGGGGAACCATAGTCGTGAGTGAAGGAGAGAGCCTGACAAAGACTCTCAGCGTCATTTTGTGTGGCACTGTGTTATGAGTCACCCTTCCCTGAGAATAGGCTGTCAGGAGTACCCCCTGCCCCAACCAGGAGGAAGTCTGGTGCGATTCAGTTGCTGGAACACTCTCAAGAATACCTTGTAATGGATGCGGAACAGATATTTCCTTTCTTTGGTTCCTCATGGATATAAACTGCCTTTTCCCTGTCCCTCCCCAGCCTCCCCATTAGGTGCCAGGGCACAGAGGTAGCACAGGCTAAGGCTCTGGGATCTCCCTTTACTGTCAAGCCTGGACATTTTGCGTAGGTGAGCACATGGCCCTGGGAAAGTACAGACATTACACAGAGCCCTGTTCTCGTGCATTCCTGAGCACCATGTGCAGGAGATGAGTTACATCCCACCCTCTCCTCAGTTGTGCTTTGGATGAGAGAGAGAGCCCACAAGAGCTTCAAAGGGAGGCATCAGCCGGCCTTCAGCCTCATGCACAGGTCAGAGGGATGGCTGAATTCTGAGGGTCCAGCCTCCCAGATGAGCTTGCCTACAATGACACCTCACCTGCAGCTGAGGGACATTGAATTCCATGACCCATCCAGGTGGGCGAGAATCTTGATTCTTTTGTTTGCTTTGTATCTCTAGCACAGTGTCTGGCATATAGTAAGTGGTCAGTAAATAGTTGTTAATGAATGCAGAGAAGCCAGAGAGAGGTGGGTATAGTGATACTTCTCTTTCCTCCCTGAGCTGGGAATGCCTATGCTGAAAAGAAACACTGAGATTCAGTTAGGTGGTTAGGCTGATGGCCCACTGAATGGTTATTAATGGTTATTCATTCAATAGATATTTACTGAGCTGGAAATATAGTGGTTGGGTGACTTCCCTTGTTTTAGCACTGAAAGTCTTATTTCCTGAGAAATCCATCAGTCCTGGGCAAACCAGGACAGTTGGTCTCCCTACACAGATACAGTCCTGCACTTGTGAAGCCAACTGTCCAGTAGGGTGTGATGGGCATCATCACCCGGGCTAACTGAGGAAAGTGCTGTGAAAGAGAGGCACTTGGAGGGAGAGGGTCTATGGCAGTCTCCCAGGGGCTCTGACCTCCCTACGAAAATGCTTGAGCTGAATTCTGAAGTAGGGGTTAACGGGGTGAAGGAAGAGTGGAGAGGAGTGCTCCAGGTAGAGGAAATGGCTGTGCAAACGCCTTGTGGTTGGAGCTCATGGAACATCTGTTAAATAGAAAGATGTGCTTGAGCGAAGAGAGAGAAGTATGAGACAAACGTGGAGAGGTAGGCAGGGGTCCCTATGAAGGATTGGGCAGATTTAGTCTAAAAACAACAAGGGAGCTTTGAAGGGTTTGACCTGATTAGCTTCAGGGTTTTTAAACACCATTTTGGCTACAGTGTAGAACTAGGATTCTGCAAATCCAGATGGCACCTGCAGGGGTCCAGAGGAGAGGTGGTGGCAGACTGCCCTACAGGAGGGATTTGGGTAATGGAGAGAAGTGGATGGGCTGGAGACAAATGTAAGAAAGAAACTGAGAGGCCTTGGTGGTAGATTGCATACGATAAGGAATGAAGGACAGGGTGGATGCAAGGAGAGCTCTTGTCTTTTGAGCTAGTCAAGGTAAGGGTGGGGTTCTGAGAGCACGGAGACTCTCGGCCACTGCTCCAGCAGCACGGCCCATAGTGCTCTGCTCCCGCCTCTAGAGAGACACGGGAAGTGACAGGAGTTCCCAGGTCTGCTCAGGAGCCTCCAGATGTGCAGCAGGTCCCAGTGTTCAGAGAGGCCGAGCAAATGTCCAACAAGTGGAGGCAAAATAATTCTGGAGCAAGGAGCACTGCTGATGAGTATGCACTTGCCTGTCAGGGTGATAGTAACTACTCTCCTGGGTAGGTGCCAGGAGCCCAGGAAATGATGACTCGGGGACAAAAATGCCTACTTAGGCCACTCTCGCACCCTCACCGAGCACTGTCTGGTCCTGGCAATGAGGCAGGGGCCATTAAAGAAGAAACTGACCCGGGAGGTGCCAGCCTTTACACCCTCCCTCCAGCTCTGCTTTGTTTTTATTCATTGTGCTATCACAGTCTGATATTACAATACAGTAGCCCTCTGTGTGTGTGTTTGCCTCCTCACTAGAACATAAGTTCCATGAGGGCAGGGACCCTGTGTGTTTTATTCACTTTTTTGTTTCTTGGGCATGTAGAATAGTGCTTGGCACATAGTGAGTGCTCAACAAATAGTTTCTGAATGAATGCAGGAAAGCCAGAGTTCAAAAGCCAGGGAGAGAATTGGGATTAGCGCTGAGCCTGGGAGGAGCCCAGGTATACACCAGTCAGAAAGGGAGACCGAGGACTTTAAGTCAAGTCAGGCGGGATACGGGGAACAGCTAAAAGTGCCCCAGTGATTTCCTTAAGGCTTAGGACTTGATTTTATGAACATCACTGATGGTTTAATTCCATTTAGAGGGCCCAAGGAGCCAGAGCCATTGAGGTAAAGCAAGGAGTTGATCCAGAACTTTAAAGGTGAATCAGGCAAACTTGGATCTAGTTTAAACGTTTGAAACACTAAGGTACTTTTGTGCAAAGTTGCTCCTGGTACAGTGAGTGAAAACCCTTTAAATTTACAGATTTTTGTCAGACCAAAGGGGTGGTGGTAAGGAAAAGAAGCCAAGTAGAGGTTAGCTCAGTTGGTTAGAGCATAGGGCTCATAACACCAAGGTGGCCAGTTCGATCCCCACATGGGCCACTGAGTTGTGCCCTCCAGGATGAGGGTGCAGAAAAAAAGAGAGGGGGACAAAGGATAGATTGTTGCAAAATTCCAATATTCAAGGGAGTCTAATATAAAACCCCTCTGTAGTAAATCACATTTGCATTCTACAAAGTAGGAGTAGTCACATTCAAATTTACAAGTAAACACACAGTGACTTCGCTATCCTTGTAGCTATCATAACACATTGTTTCATTGCATTTCAGTTAAAATCTGTGAAAATATTTAGTATCTTACCAATGAAAAATAACGTGTCTTTGTGGTGGGGGAGAAGAAGGAGAAGCGAGAATAGGTCAGGGAATATGTTATGTATAGGGATGCCTAGATGGAACAGATAGAAAAAGTCTCAACCCAAAGGGTTGAGTGGCTTTCTGTTTCTAGGTGTGGGTTCTAAGCTTCTAGTTTGTACTGCCTTGGGGAAATACCATTCCCACAGCTTCACAAGGAACTAGCCACAGCTACAAAATCAACCTGAAGAGTTCCATCATTTCAACTATAAATGGGACAAGATTGGACTTCTTTATAAATTAAGTCTTGTTTTCTTACAGTGCTTTTAAAGAGAAACGATGGCTTCAGCAGTTAGAAATCGCAAGAGTCCTAGCCAAAAAGAGCATTTCTAACCTGACTACCCACGGAAGACTGAGAGCACATAAAAATCCTCCAGAACCTGTGCTTTGAAAAGTCATGACAATCCCAGTGTGGGTGAAGACCTTATCAAATAGAACCTCCAGTTCTAACATTACCAGTTTAATAACAGTTCTAATGCTATAATTTCTAATAACAGTTCTAATGCTACATGACTATCAACAGGATATTTAATGTTAACTACCATATTTTCTTGAACTCTATCACCCTAAGTGAAAATTTAGGGCATTTATTTTTGCATAAAGAGTTTGAAGAAGAATTCATAAGAAACTGAGAATAGCAGTTGGTACAGGGTAGGGAAACAGGGTGGATGAGAAACAAAGACAGAAATGAGAACTATTACTGTTCCTTTTTCCCTAGGTTTGTTTGAATCCTTTTGTTTTATAAACCATATGAATGTAGTATATAGTAAGAAAAAAAATGTTTAATACTATATAGGGAAAGTCCTTAGGAGAGTTACAAATACCACCCAGGTCCAGTACTGGTCTCAAGCATCTTTCGAACATCTGCTAACAGATTGCTTTCTATTAATATTTTAAAATTGAGGTAAAGTTTACATACAGTCAGTTGCACAGATCTTAACTGTAAGATTCAATGACTTTGACTAATATATGCATCTGTGTATCCAATATCCCAATCAAGATGTAGAATACTTCCATTACCCCAGAAAGCTTCTTTAAACGTTTATCTAAGTCTATCCCAATGTCCTACAGGCAACCATGCTATTTTGATTTCTATCTCCATGGATAAAATTTCCCAATCAAAGAAATCATATAGTTGTTCAGTTTTGTGCCTGGGTTATTTTTCTCACTTTAATATTTTGAAGATTCATTTACATTGTTGCATGTATCAATAATACAATCTTTTTTACTACTGAGTAGTGTGCCATTGTACGGGTGCATCATAATTTATCTATTCAACTATATGGACATTAGGGTTGCCTCCAGTTTGGGGTATTATTGGAAAGGTCTTTTTCTGGACATATGTTTTCATCACTTTTAGGGAAATGCCTAGGAGTGGAATTGTTGGATAATACCGTGTTTCCCCAAAAATAAGACCTTACTGGAAAATAAGCCCTAGCAAGATTTTTCAGGGTGCTCATTATATAAGCCCTACCCCAAACATAAGCCCCAGTCAAGATCATCAGCCAGACATGACAGTTTGAATAAATGTAGATTTTTGTACATAAATAAGTAAATACATGTAGATTGTTGAAGCAAAAATTAACGTAGGACCCGGTCTTATTTTCAGGGAAACATGGTAGGGTAAATGTACATTTAGCATTACAACAAACAGCTCTGCCTAACAGTTCTGCAAAGTGGTTTTATGATTTTCCACTTCCACCAACAATGTCCAATGTTCTGGTTTCTTCATGTACTTGCCAAAATTTGATGTCAACGGTGTTTCTGATTTTTAGGTACTGTAGTGGGATTGAAATGACATCTCTAGATAAAAGAAAAAAAAAGAAAAGAAATGACATCTCATTGTGTTTTGAATGTGCATTTCCCTGATGTCTACTAATATTGAATGTTTTTCATGTGCTTATTGGCCATTTGTTTATCTTCTTTTCTAAAGTGTCATTTCAAGTTTATCTTTTAATTAATGGTTTATTGAAGATTTTTATATACTCATAATACAAATTCTTCATCAGATATATGTATTGCTAATTTTTTTACCTGTCTGTGGCTCACTTTTTCATTGTCATATGGTGTCTTTGATGAATAAAAGTTTTTAACTTTGATGAAGTACAATTTATCACGTTTTTCTTTCATGGGTCATGCTGTTTCCTAAGAACTCTCTCTCTACCCCAAAGTCATGCAGATATTTTCATATGTTTTTTCCCAGATGTTTCATAATTTTAGTTTTTATGTTAGGTCTATAATCCATGTCAAGTTATTTTTGTTTGTGTGATGTGAGGTGAAGGTCAGGATTCTTTTTTTTCCCCCATTTTAACAGTTTATCAAATTGTTCTAGTATTAGTTGTTGAACAGACTTTCCTTTCCCCCATTGAATTACCTTGGCACTTTTGTCAAAAATGAATTTACAGGTACCGGCTGAGTGGCGCGATGGTTAAGAGCTGGCTTGGGACGCCAGAGGGCCCCGGTTCGGATCCCACATATGAGGGCCAGTGACACTGCCCTCCACAGCTAAGATGCTGAACAACAGCTTGACCTGGAGCTGGGCTATCGTGAGTCGCCAGCGACAGAGTAGGAAAAACAAAACAAAACTGAATTTACAGTATATGTACAGATCTATTTCCAGACACTCTATTCTGTTCCATTGACCTACTTACTTATCCTTATAATAATACCATACTGTCTTAATTCTGTAGCTTTATAGCAGGTCTTGAAATTAGGTATTATGAATATTCCAACTTTGTTATTTTCAAGTGGTTTTGGCTATTCTCAGTTCTTTGCATTTCCATATACATTTTTTTAAACATTTATTTTCTTTTTTTTTTTTTTAAACTTTACAGGGAAACAATGTTTTTTTTTCCAGGACCCATCAGCTCCAAGTCAAGTTGTTGTTCTTCAATCTTAGATGTGAAGGGCGCAGCTCAGCTCCAAGTTGCTGTTTTCAATATATTGGGTTGTCGGAAAAGTCATGAATGAAAAACATAGAAAAAATACATCATGACTTTTCCAACAAGCCAATAGTTGCAGGGGGCTCAGCCCACCATCCCATGCAGGAACCAAATCAGCAACCTTGTTGTTAAGAGCACGCATTCTAACCAGCTGAGCCATCCGGCGGCCCACCAGCAGCTCAGCTCAAGTCGTTGCCCTCAATTTAGTTGCAGAGGGCACAGCTTACTGGCCCATGTGGGAATCGAACAAGCAACCCTGTTGCTCAGAGCACGTGCTCTAACCAACTGAGCAACCAGACCCGCCCCTCCATAGACATTGTTAAATGAACTTGTCATTCTCTATGAAAAAGCCTGCTGAGATTTTGATTGGGCACAACTGACATCTTAATAATATTTGAACCTTACAACCCATGATATATTTATCTATGCTATATGTTTCCATTAGTTCGTCTTCCTTAATTTCTCTCATCAATGTTTTTTAGGTTTTAGTGTAGATGTCTTACAAATCTTTTGTTAAATTTTTTCCTAAATATTTTATATTTTTTATTCTATTTGATAGGAAGATTTTTAAGATAGATTCTGTTACAATAGTCAGAGGCACTTAAAGCTTAAAGCTCATTTAAAAAATACTTTTAAGTTCCCACTTAGATATTATGGGATTGGAGCACATAGAAGGTTAATACAAAAGAAAATACAAAGATGATGTAAAGAGGTGTTGTAAGGCAGCACGTACATAGGTGTTAGTTCAATGTAGAGACAATAAAAGGAGATAGTGACTGGAAGAGGGCACAGCAGAGGTTCTGGGGTACTTACAACATTCTATTTCTTCATCTGGGTTAATAATAGGTGTGTTCAGTTTGAGGACATTCAACAAAAAGTATTTTATCTGTACCCTTTTTGCATGCAATAAGTGAACTAAAATAATGAAAAAAATCTCAGGAGGCTAATTTATGCATTTACTGCCAGCTTTAGACTCATGAGAGGGCAGTTCATGTGAATGATGGGTGTCACCATGCTGTTGTCCCCTTGACTAAATTGAATTGTGACTCCTTGCAGGGGATAATAATAGTCTATGTTTCACTGAAATACAACCAAGGAAATGCCTGGTGCAAAGATTCAGGGGCTGAAATGCCTAAGAAGGAGAAAGGAATATGGGGAAATAGGAGGGAAAGGTGGATAAGGTAGAGAAAGATAAAAAGATGAGGAACGTGAGAAGCTAATTGATATGAAGCCATGTTCTCTGACAGAATCAACTGAGAAAACACTGAATATCTATTCTTTTTTTACTTTAGCCCAGAAGTAAGATAGTTTAAGGAAATAGCTTACTGGGGCCAGCCGACTGGCTCAGTTGGTTAAGAGTTAGCTTAAGAGCGCGAGCTCTGAGCAACAGGGCTGCCGGTTCGATTCCCACATGGGCCAGTGAATGCTGTACCTGAGCTGAGCTGCTGCTGAGCTGCCAACAGGTGGCAGGATGGCTCAGCTGGTGAGAGCACGTGCTCCTAACAAGACTGCCTGTTTGATGGTGGGCTACGCCCGCCAGCAACTAAGACTGAACTCGGCACCTTGAGCTAAGCTGCCACCTGGATGGCTCAGTGGATAGAGTGTGCGCTCTTAACAACAAGGCTGCTGGTTTGACTCCTGCATGGGATGGTGGCTATGCCCACCCTAACTAAGATTGTAACACAGCACCTTGAGCTTAGAGGCCGATGGGCAGCCAGATGGCTACTGGCACCCTCCACAAACTAAGATTAAAGAACAAGAACTTGGCTGGTCCCCCTTCCCGATTCCCCAACACTGTCCCCCTCCCCAAATTCCCCAATTAAAAAAAAATAGCTTACTTAAGACATAAAATGGAGTAACATTAAGATCTTACATAATTATACTAGCATACAATTTAAAGCATTGTTATTAGCATGCATAGGATATGCTGGGACATGTATTCTAAGCCCAGTGTTATTGAAATCAAAGTTAATTGCCACCCACCTTATCTGTTTCCGTGTCATTTTGTTTATTCCTCAAGCATTACCAGTCATCACACTGTACTGAAATTATTTGATTATTTCCCTCACTTTACTGTCATCTTTAAGAGGCCAAGTACATAGTTTTATTCATCTCCAAATTACCAAGGCATAGCATATATTTGAACCTTTGAGTAATTGCTCTATAAATATTTGCTGAATTAAATGAATGAATTTTAGGATGATCGTGCACATGGAATTCTCAATGATTTGTTCATACAAAATCTCCTATAAAATGTAAATCTTCAGTTTACAAATCTTTCAATTGTTTAATTGATTGCTAAACAACCAATTATTAGCAATAAACAATTGCTAATTTATTGTTTCATTTGATCACTAAAGACAATGTCTTAATGTGAATTTATTAGTTTATCTGAGCTACATAACAGCACTACATGGCACAAAAGGACAATCATCATTAAAATACTCATTTTACAAAGAGGCTAAGTTTATAACATAAAAACAACTTGTTGGCTCTACAGGTAGTGTCAGAGCCAGATCTGGAATCTAGACTTGATTTTTCATTCAGGTAATTTCCTCTAAACAACTACATCACATTTGGTAGCAAAAAATCATTCTATAAATTAGCCTAGGGGGTTTTAACTCCCAAGCTCTTTTCCCCCAGCTATCACTTAGCTTTTTGACCCCCTTCTTGGGCAATCCCATTCTACTACTCCCTAAACCCTACCTTCATGCCCCCTGCCCTCACCTCATCACAGGGAAGAAAGGCTATATCATATTGCTATAATATTGTATCTATTTGTAAATTCATTTCAGCACTTCTTATTCCCTACAGACAGTCCCCTATATATTGGGTTGTTGGAAAAGTCATGACGTATTTTTTCTATGGTTTTCATTGCAAAAATGCATCATGACTTTTCCGACAACCCAATACAATGGTTCAATTTAATGATTTTTCGACTTTACAATGGTGTGAAAGTGATATGCATTCCATAAAAAAAAGTACTTTGAATTTTGAATTTTGATCTTCTCCTGGGCTAGTGATATGCAGTATGATTACTTTCTGGTGATGCTGTGTAGCTCCTAGTAAGCCACGAGATCATGAGGGTAAAAAAACCAATACTCTACATCGCACTGTTTTGCCAGTGGGTTGTTTTTTGGTTGTTGTTTTAGTTCAATGTTTCAAACATTCTTCAGACCCAGTGTGCTTTCAGCTATGTATGTTGATGGTGAATACCCATACAACCATTCTGTTTTCACTTTCAGTACTGTATTCAATAAATTATATGAGATACTCAACACTTTATTATAAAATGGGCTTTGTGTTAGATGATTTTACCCAACTGTAGGCTAATGTAAGTGTTCTGAGCATGTTAAAAGTAGGCTAGGCTAAGTTATGAAGTTCAGTAGTTTAGGTGTATGAAATGCAAGTGTCCAACTTACAATGGGTTTATCAGGATGTAACACCATTGTAAGTCCACCTCTATATGTACGGTTCTTGAATATCTCCTTTGAAACAGTTGAAACTGCTTCTTACTGTAACCTGATTGATTCTCTCATTAATTCATGATTTCACTACAATCTTGATGTGTGTTCATTATATATTTGTAAAATAGTCATTTTATCTTTTCTGAAAATTATTCTTAAATAATGGACATTTTCTTAGTAATGTATGAATAAAAGCTTCTTGAGGAAATGATGCCATTTTTGCTTATCTGCCACTTACAGTTGAAGTAAAAATTGCACTCTCTCTAAATGCTGCTTCAAGACCTAACTACTGTAACAAGTTCAAGGACCTGCCCTAGTGAAGGAAACAAACGATTTCAATTTCAGTAAGATGTGAGGGAAAAGGTAGACACAGAAAGCAGAGCTGAAAAACTTGCACTTTCATTTCCGCCTAGGAGACTCATAGTATAGAAAGAGTTGTCTTATCCCTAGATATAAGATAGATAAGAAGTGTCTCTCTTTCTCTCTAGGTCTCTCTCCTGACCACCTCTACTCAAAAAGGGTGAGATTTAGAGAGTCATATTCCTATCAATTAGCAATTCTATAGTCTCATATTTGAACCATAGTAGTAGGTAAGAGACAGCTGGGAAAAGAAACAAATTCTCACGCCTCACTCAACGTATAAAAATAAAGACATTGTGGGACCGGCCAAGTGGCACGTTGGTTAAGAGCTGGCTTGGGATGCCAGAGGTCCCTGGTTTGGATCCCACATATGAGGGCCAGTGACACTGCCCTCTACAGCTAAGATGCTGAACAACAGCTTGACCTGGAGCTGGGCTATCGTGAGTCGCCAGCGACAGAGTAGGAAAAACAAAACAAAACTGAATTTACAGTATATGTACAGATCTATTTCCAGACACTCTATTCTGTTCCATTGACCTACTTACTTATCCTTATAATAATACCATACTGTCTTAATTCTGTAGCTTTATAGCAGGTCTTGAAATTAGGTATTATGAATATTCCAACTTTGTTATTTTCAAGTGGTTTTGGCTATTCTCAGTTCTTTGCATTTCCATATACATTTTTTTAAACATTTATTTTCTTTTTTTTTTTTNAAATAAATAAAGACATTGTTTTGAACTCCGTAAGCAACCGCCATTGCAGGCATCATCATCTTTATCCTAATTTATAATCACTCATAGAACTTGTTACAAACCTTCAGCTTTTTGCCTGCTGTGTAGAATGATGGACTTGGAACCTGATCGTCTCTTTACAGCTCTATCACTGGCTTATTGCGTAATTTTGAAGCTCTAATTCTTCATCTGTAAGAAGAAGGTCATGGCTAATAAACATATTAAGTGAAATAATATAACATATACAAAAACTCTGTGCAAAGTAATAGCTCTATAAAAGTTAGTTTCAGTTGCTCGACCTCTCATCTTCCTTATCTCTAATAGGAACAATAATGGTACCTACCTCATAGAGTTCTTGTGAACTCTAAATGAGTTAATAAATGTAACAACAGTTCCTTAACAAAAGTTAGCTATTTACGTATGTTATTAATGTACACTCCACCAGGGGGCGTGTCAGATTTCAAACATATTTTCGTCTCTCCCATAATGCTTAGCACAGTGCACCCAGCAGGCTACATTTTTGCAAGATATTTGCGAACGAAGAATCTTCTGCTTCCAGCGTGCACCGCAGGAGGCGTTTGAGTGTAGGACTCCCGTAGGCCGGAACCAAAAGCTCGAAATGCTGAGGCTCCGGAGCTTCTTCGCGTTTGGACAAGGGCCCCGGAAGTGGTGAGAGCGGAGTCTGCGCGGACGCCTGAAGTCCGCCTTTCAGCGAAGATGCTGCTGGACTTGTCCGAGGAGCATAGGGAGCACCTGGCCTTCCTGCCGCAAGTGGACAGCGCGGGTTAGGGGACGCGGCAGCGGAGGGTGGTGTTCACTGGTACGGGGAGGGGATCAGGGGGCGCGCCCGGCGCTCATGGTCTCCTGGCTTTCATTGCAGTGGTCGCCGAGTTTGGGCGGATTGCGGTGGAGTTCCTGAGGCGAGGTTCGAACCCCAAGATCTACGATGGCGCTGCCAGTAAGTAGGGGAGGGACGTGGCTCTTCGGGCTGCGTGGGGGAAGTGCTGGCCATTCTCTGTCGTCCTGGAGCGAAAGGCGTTATTGCGACTCCGAGGGTCCTGTTCCCGTTGTCATAGAATAAAACCAGAGGGCCCTTCAGTCAAAGCGCAGATCCTACCTGTCCTGTAAGTAGCTGTGAGATAAAAAGCTTTTATTTTAAAGCTTCTGTTAAATCGCCTTTTTCATGTTTAAAGTAGACATAATACCATCTGCCAGAGATACTAATAAAGCTTAAATGCACCAAAAGTGTGCGGAATAGTCGATGAGCCCTAAGTATTATGCAGGTGTTTATTATTTGTTCAGACATCTGCTTTTGATGAAGTGGGTTTTTTCCAGCTGGACGAGGGGCGGTTTCTGAGATTGTCAGTTCCTTTTTGAGTTCCTCTTTAGCCAAGCTTGGAGGAGCTGCGCACTCAAAATCAGGGCTGTGCGCATGGTACTAGTCTCCAGGGGTCAGCACTTTGTAAAGAAGGTTACATGGCGGGAAATACCGAAGGCATTTGGCTGGGAGTGGAGAAAGAACAGGAGGCTGTTACCAACTCATTTTTAATTGCAATGTCTCTGAGCACAGGAAATAATGGATAATATTTAGTCTTAAATAAGAGTTTGAATAAAAGGATAAATATCACACAATAATTTATTTGCTCTTTTTTCCTTTTTCTCAGGAAAACTCAATGTGAGTAGTGACACTGTCCAGCATGGTGTGGAAGGATTAACGTACCTCCTCACTGAAAGCTCAAAGCTCATGGTAAGGGCTTCTGTGGTCTTTCTTGTATTACCCGGACCTTAAGAAGGTCATGTATACTCTACATCATAGTCCTGGCAGGTTCCTGCTTATTTCAGTAGTGTTGTTAATGGTTTATAATTGATTTGGTGAAGCCATGCCTAAACAATATGATTATAACATGACTTGCTGGCTTGAATACCTCATGTTAGTATAAATTCTAATTGCCTCTAATTCTGCAGGTTATTGAACCATATACCACAATAGTATCCTAAGAGGAGGGAAAATTAAGTGATGCACTTTTTTGCGTATTAGCCATATCTGCCTTGATGGAGAGAATAGGAGTGAAAACTGGGCATTTTAACAATTATTTACATTTTATACTTTAATAAAGTGTTTTTATGTATCAGAAACTCAGATTTTGGAATAATGGGCAAGGGTTGCCTTTAAGGAGTGTTGTTTCTTTTACTAGACAGAAGAGAATTAGGGATGTCATATTCTCTGGTGTCTATGAAGTACTTTAGCATTTAATAGACAAAGGTAAATGTTGATGTTTTGTTAAACTTGATTCACTTTTAGATTTCTGAACTGGATTTCCAAGACTCTGTTTTTGTTCTGGGATTCTCTGAAGAATTGAACAAGTTGCTGCTTCAGCTTTATCTGGACAACAGAAAGGAGATCAGAACTATTCTGAGTGAATTGGCACCAGACCTTCCCAGTTACCACAGCCTTGAATGGCGACTAGATGTACAGGTATGACTTTTTTTTTTAACCTGAAATAGAATATAGGATTTATTTTAGGTTTATGTCCTCAGTCTTACTGTATTCTTTACCACCTTAAACAAATTCTGGTTTGAAACTAGTTTTTTAATGTTTATTTTCAGACCGTTTCACAGATAGCTCATTTTCTTATGTTTTTAATGTGTTCAAATCAGTTTAATTTGCAAAATTTGTAAGAAATAAGTTATTTTGGAAAAGGAGATGCTTAAGTGTTGCTTAGCTTTTAAAGAAACTTTTCTACTTAAATAAACACTCATATAGAAAAGTGCACAGGTCAATGTACAGCTCAGTGAATTATCACATGGTGAAAACACCCATGAAACCAACACTTACCCATGACCCGCACCCCAGAAGCATCCTCCTTGTCTCCTGCCAATTATTTCCTCTTCCTCCTTTTCCTGCCGTCAAATACATAGATTACTTTTGCTGCTCTTTAACTTTCTATATATGGAATGATTCAGTAAATATGTTTTTGTCTGGCTTCTTTTAATTTATTTATTTTTTGTTTGTTTGTTTTTAGCTGAGCCATCCTGCCACCTGTTGGCAGCTCAGCTCGGGCCAGACATCGAACCGCTGTTGCTCAGAGCGCACACTTTTTTTTTTAAAGATTTTTTTATTGGAGATTTGTGGGGAGGGGAGCAGCGTTGGGGAATCAGGGAAGGGGAACAGACAGGTAGACAAATTGCTGTTTTGTTCTTCAGTCTAGTTGTGGAGGACGTCACTGGCCCATGTTGGTATGATCATTGTGCCCTTCTCGGGTGAGACAATCGGTTGCCGGTCATTGGTCGGCTGCTCACAGTGGCTCCTGGTAGCTCACACCGGCTACCAGCTGCTCACGCTGGCTGCCAGCCACTCACGTAGCTCACAGCAGCCCACTGCTCGCCCTGCTGCAGCCTACGCCGTCGCCGGTGATTCACAGCAGCCCAGCTCCAGGTCGAGCTGTTGTTCATCATCTTAGCTGTAGAGGGCGAGCATCACTGGCCCTCAGTATGGGATCCGAACCACAGCCCTGCTGCTCAGAGCTGGTGCTCCCAAGCAAGCTCTTACCCAGCTTGAGCCACTCAGCCGGCCCCTATCTGGCTTCTTTTTAAACAATATTTGTGTGAATCAGTTGTTTTTAAAGCCATATAGTTAACCAAAATGGAGTTTTCAGACTTGCCAGTAGCCCTGTATCAAGCAGTGACAGATAAATTAAGAGAGATTTATTGAATGCCATCCATTTGCTGATTAGAGCTGTGCTAAATGCTTTGGGAAACAAAAGAAGTATAAGACCCTTTCTCAGCTGGAAAAGATATTATCTGGTTAGGAGTGTTAGATGTTCTCACAATAACTAGTAATTAAATACAGTTATAACATATGGTTCTGGAGGGGGGGAAATAATACAATTGTATAAATCAAGGTACAACTGAGTATTTTTAAAAAGCTGTAGCTGTGGTAGTTCAGTTCTGTGTACACAGGAATGATCCAGAAAAGCTTTAACAAAAGGAGGTGAAATTTCAGAGGGTTAGACAAGTAGAGAAAACCAGGGTAAATACTCTTGACAGAGGAGACAGTATAAGCTGGTAAGGCCCACATGGATATGGGAATGAACGTACTGAATATGTGGTATAGTCCACTAGCCAAACTTGACTGTGCATTAGAATGACCTGAGAGATGGAAAAAATTTTTGTCCCACTCCCAGAGAGTCTGATTTACTGGTATGGGGTTTGGCCTGGCCATGATTTTTAAAAGCTTCCCATTTACCCAGGTGATTCTAATGTGCAATAAGTTTGCAAATCACTGTTATAGTAGATTCTTCCCGATTTGAATGGTGATCCAAATAGGTTACAGAAATTCAGTTAGAGGAGTTTAGCAATTATAATCTAGTGTGATGAGTGCTTGAATAGATATTAACACAGGATATGGTATAAACCAGATTATAGGCTCCGTGAGGGCAGCTACTATGTCTTGTTCACTACCGTGTCCCCAACACAATGCCTGGCACATAATAGGCATTCACTGCTAATATAAAAAGGTGTGGTGTGGGGCTAGTGGTGGTAAGCACCTTCTTAAATTATTTATCAAATATTTCCTGTATACCTGTTATGTGATGTGGATAACAGTAAAGAACAGGACCAAGTTTGTGCTCTTGGAGATGACATTAGCAGCAAGTGCAGTAGAGTTCATGGGCAGGAGGAGATCACTGGTTAGTTAAGCCTTTATGTTTCAGTCCTCTCACAATAACCAGGTGGAGGAGATGGGTGGTCACGTTCACGAGGTTCAGCAATAATTGATCTTACACATGTTTACCTCTCATGTGGGGATATCTTCTGGCGCTTGGGGTCCAGTAGCCATTAGAATTCCTTGTTTTGGCTTTATTGATTTGCTTGAAGTTATTTCAATATGAAGATATTTTTAGAAGTTAAGCAGTTGAATTTTCTAAAATTGAACTCAAGAGAGTGAGTGCATTTATCCAGTGAAATGAGTTTGAATAGCTGTGTTACCACAAGGATTAATACAGTTTAAAGTTGAGAGTATATTGAATGAATATTGCCTCCTGGTGAAATGCATTTAAGGACTAAAAAGGCTACTCAGAACTAATTGATTTCCTGAGATTATTAGTTAAAATTATTGCAAGTAATCTTAACTGCAGTGGATTCTTCTGCTTATGGGAGGAAGACTTAGATGAAGACCATATAAAATGCTAGGAAACTAGTACTTTCATTTTTGAATAACTGATTTGTCTCATGGAGACTGGTAGTAAATGAATAGTTATCATCTAATTATTGTGCAGTTGCTTATGGGAAATTAAAATTAAACATGATAGTTTAGTTTCTAATAGAACCATTTCCTATACTTCATAAATGCCAGCATAATTAATGCCTTTTTAATAGCATAAGTAAATTGAATGCATCTGAGATTGATGGAGGAGAGTGTTACCTTTAGGGCTGATTCATTTAAAGTTGCTGTTGTTATTTTTACAGGGAGAAGGACAGAATTTCTTCCCCAATAAAAAATAAGTCCATGTCAAGAACTTCGTAGAACTACTGTTCTTTATCCTGTAATACGGATTTCTTTCTGAGGAAAAAATTAGGCCTAATTATACTTACTAGGTGTTTGTTAGGATATTATATAATCTTCGTCTAGCAGAAATTTTAAAGATTGGTATAGATATTATCTGTAAAGCTTATTAATTTAGGTATCATGTTGTCTAAAAATTGGAGGATAGATTGAGTGACCTTAAGTCCTTCAACAAAAAATTCATGGCTTAATTACACACCTAGATACATCTGGTCCCTATCTGTCAGTGCAGATATACAAGAAAAAGAAGTATAAACAATGCATAATTGAATAAGTAGTATTTTCAATCATAATATTTCTTACCATTTGCCTATCTATAATCTTCTGTACTAGATAAATGATCTTAAAGAGATACTTTACCTTACAAATACCTATTTTAGGTTTGGAGACTGGTTCATCTATTGTTTCCAAGTTATTCTGAGACATTGAATTTCAACCTTGATCAACATTTTGGGTTCTTTTGGATGCCCAAATCACCTAGAATTAATTGGAAAAAGTTATTAGTCAGAATATTCTGTGTTGTGGTATTAAATTAATCCTAAAATCTTAGGTTTAGATTTGTTACTCACTTGGAAGTCTTCAATTTGGCTTCTTGTTCTTTTGACATGACTCCAATAGTCTTAGATAAGAATCTTGCTTTCTTGTATAACAAGATGTTTCAAGTTCATCTTGTACAATTCCTGTCCCAGACTTGGAATCAGCTATTACTTCAAGGAGGTCCTGGTTACTTTTAAAGGAGAATGCTCTTTAGCAAGCACACTCCAGTGCTAGGGTTACCTACCATCACTTCCAAGTTGGTCATTGTTTCTAGTGTGGTTTTTTTTTCTTTTAATAATATGTCAGTAGTACTTATTTTTAAAATTTTGGAATATACAAACAAAAGATTTTAGATATTCAGCTTAAAGAATAATAATAAAACAAGTACCCATTGCCAAGCTTAAGAAATAGAAAACCAAGGGCGGGCCGAGTGGCTCAGTTGGTTAAGAGCTCGCTCAAGAGTTTGAGCTCTGAGCAACAGCGGGTCGAGTCCAGCCCGAGCTGAG